GGAAGGCAGTCTCTTTACATCTATGCCGACCACTTTCTTTGGTTAACCTGGGGGAATTAGCAGTAAGGATAACCTTCTCTTTGATAGCGGGATGTAATCGTTTTCTGCGTGCCATCGTCCATTTCGACATGGAAAGCACTGCGCATGATTACGATTATGATACCATTACCCATGATTAAGAATTCTAGACGGAATCCGAAACGTCAGGACAATAAAACTTTTGTTCCAGCGGTCGCATTCTTATGAAAAGCACTGCTGTGTCTCACTGACTGGCGAGAATTGCCAAATTCACAATGTGATTGCGTCCACGTTGAGTGGATAGCGTCTTGTGGTATTACAAGATGAAGTGGTCGGTCGCTAGACGTTAGAGATGCAGCACTCTTCTGTGGCATTGCGATGGATTTCACGCTGGTCATGGCCAATAAATTCCTTGACTTGAACTCTTACTTTCGGAGCATGACATTGTCCACACCTCTGGCTCAAGTCGGGGTTGAGGATGTTTTACTCAGCCCTTTGTTAAACCCGTATGTACCGCACTGTTATCGGTGGCCCATTCATGCCTTTCGTGAATTTCGCCTTTGAAGGTTGACTCTGTCCCAGGGGAGACAGGGCGAGACAAGGCCGTTCCCGATTATTGGAGTTCAGGCATCCTTGTGTCTATACACAAGAAGGGAGACAAGACAAGGTGCGAGAACCACCGCGGCATAAGTCTAATCGACGTTGTTGCAAAGATCTTCGCTATTGTTCTTCTCAGGCGGTTCCAGTCTGTACGTGGCCGGATTCAGTGCTGGACGTGGGTGTGCGGACCAGCTACATACGCTGAGGCGCATTCTGGAATTCCGCCATAGCTACCAGCAACCGCGGCCGTCTGCTTTGTCGACTTTGCTGCTGCGTTTGATTCAATCCATCATGATTCCCTTTGGTGAATAATGGAACTAGATGGAGTACCAACCAAACTCATGACCTACTATCGTTCCACTACCGCACGAGTTCTGATCCACAATCTCTCTCAACCGTTTGATATCCGGTCTGGTTTTCGACAGGGCTGCAGCATATCGCCCATTCTGTTTAATTATGTCATTGACTGGATTCTCGGGAAAGTTCCACATGAAGAAGACGGTGTTGAGATTTCACCCGGACGCCGGCCGACTGATCTCGACTACGCCGATGATAC